ACAAACTTATCGAACCGACAATATTTGTTCGGACCATTTTTTGTCAGATGTCCCAGAATTTATGAAAACAGCTGTAAAATTCTTCAAAGATTTGCAAATTTTGACCCGGCCGGGTTATGAGAACCAAAAATACCAGTTTGTATAGCCTAAGTGAATAGTGTTATAAGTAAATTTTGCCTGCTAATTTAATAAAATTAATTCAGTATTTCATATTTTAGTATTATTTAATTAAATACTAGTGTTATTTTATTATTTTCAAAGTTTATTAGTAATTTATATACAGTAATATGATAGATCCTCATTCTCATTACGCTTCGGACAATAAAGTATATATTAGGATTAGGGTTAGAATTAAAGGTTTAGATAAAATTTTGCAATAAAATTTTTTTATTAAAACACAAAAGACCTCTGTTATATAATTGCAATCAAAAATTTTCATTAAATGCAATATTGAAACTTTTGTTTTATATCCATTTTTTACATTATATCAAAAATATTTAGACAATCTTAAAACTCTAATTTTTTTTAAAATAACTCAAGGACTCTTAACATTGATATCTGATATTGATTTATGTACAGTACGTGCTCTCTTATCCATTATTAATACTGTGTATACTGTATATTTTTTTGCACACACACATCCTCTTCCCACACTCTTCCCTTTTAATTACAGCATTAGCTTTGATTAGCAAAATTTCATTATAGCTTATTTATCGATTACCGTATTCATAGCTCAAGATCATAGTAAAATTTCGTTGTGTGACCGATACTTAGTGCAACTATGAATTCTGATTGGCTGTAGTAAACGGTGAGGTAAGTACTTAGATGTATAGCTTGTGTTACTATTTCATCACATGCCAACACTCTTAAGTTCACTTTCTCATTTCCAAGTAATATAAAATAAGTAATATATACATTAAAAGAAATGTCTGATAGGGTAAGGAAAAAGTTCAAAAACGCTTTATGCAGCATAGTTTCTTCTATCACGTTCTAATGCTCTGAGACTATTTACTATAATTATATTTACCTTTGGTAAATGACAGGGCAGAGGAGGCAGAGGTGGAGCAACACGAGGTAGAGGTAGAGACGGTCGTTCTGGAAGAGGTGGTTACTCGGCCTTTGGAGGTGACAAACCTAAAAAAGAATCAATACTTGATCTCTCAAAATATATGGACAAAAAAATACGAGTCAAATTTAATGGTGGACGCGAAGGTTAGGCCAAAATTTCATTATACCAATGTGTACATATCTGGATAAATTGACTTTTTTTTAATTTTAATTCAATTGAAAATTCTTGGAATAATAATAATAGTAACTGGATCATTGAAAGGCTATGATCCTTTACTGAATCTAGTACTTGATGATACTGAAGAACAATTGAGAGGTATGGTAAAAGAAATTTTACAATTTATTTTGTATATATATATAGTTTACATTTTTAATCTGTTTTTTTATGTTAGACCCTGAGACAAATCATTTGTCTGATGATGTAAGGTCATTAGGATTAATTGTTTGTCGTGGTCCCGCTGTAATATTAATATCACCAGTTGATGGAACTGAGGAAATTGAAAATCCTTTTGTGCAAGACTAATTTACTTCATTTTCGCAAAATTTAATTATAAGAAACAGTTTAATATAATGTTTCATCTAAACCATATTCTCAATACTCAAATGGTTTGGATTTAATGAATAATTAAAAATGATGGTCCCGATCTCATAACCTAGGGAGGAATCAGAAATATTCTAAAGTCGCATATATTGTCATATTCTAAAAAAAAAAAATATTATTACGTATTTTTATAACCATTTTGATCTTTTAATTAAAAGTATTTATATATGATTCATTGCAAAACTTGCCTCTTATTTCCTCGCGCATTCCCAATACCCACTTATTATCAAAAATCTGCTGAAATGAGTGATGCACAAGAAATTCATTTATTAACAAAACTTGCTGAAACACATTTGATGTTTGATCTAGTAGTATAAACAATAGTGCTTAAGAATATATCAAAGCATCTCATAATTCGAATTGTTATATAATGCGAGACTATCATTCCATTGCGAGATTATCATATTAATTGAGGAATATTTCAATTGATTACATCAAACCATGTTTACGACATAATCTATTTTTGGTAAAGTAAAATCACGTGATTAAGTGCTGATTCCCTTTTTCGTGAAAATACGTAAGAGACAATTTATTCTTGCGTGGAAAAAACCTAATTTTACAATAAAGATAATTAAAAGATTATATAATTTGACTTTATTTGGTAACAAAATAAAGGAGTGAATAAAAAACATGAATTTTTGAAATCAAAAAAAAAAAAATAATAATAATAATACAAATTACATAATTATACCATATTAAAAAAAAAAAAAAAAAAGTCTTTTAACAATATCGTAAACGACGTCATTTAGAGAAAGTAACCAATTTAGGGTCTCGTGGTACCCCCGTTTGAGGATCAATATTATTGGTTTTAAATTTTCTTTGCATTCTAAATAATCTTGCTTGATCAAATGTCAGGCCTTCAGTTTCCATTATTCGTTTAATTTCTACCGAATCTTCTAAACCCAAACGGTTATCCCCATCAACAATGTTTTGGCGAAGGTCAAAGGATTCTGATGTTAATCCTTCTTCAATATCATTTTGAAATGAATTTGTGGAAAAAATAGCAGGCAAACGTTGATAACGTTGATTTAAATAAGGGAATTTTATAAGAATTGCCTGGCGATGATAGAATGTAACTTAAATAAATTCAACAAAAAAGTTAATAAGTATGGCTATACAAACTGGTATTTTTGGTTCTCATAACATAAAATTTTCAAAAGTGACCCGGCAACCCGGC